CTATCACGGATATATTCATTTCGCATTTTGTCTCTAAGTGTAAAGCCACTTATCTACCTAGTCATTCTCATCTCGGCGACACTTAACTTAGTATTATACAAAAACAACATTCAACGCCATAGAGCATTGCAACTCACCACCATCTTATAAAATTTTTCTTTCAGTCTAAGCAGTACTTTTCTATCACACAAAAAGCCGTAAGCATTCCTCCACTTCAACCAACCAACTTGAATTCTACTATTAACATCCCCATCTATATCACCATCGCTTTGAACAATAGACCCGAGATATCTAAATTGTTCACACCTTTTAATAATTTGATCACCCAAAATTACACTTCTGTCACTAGAACTACTACTACTACTAAAATTACATTCCATGTTATTACTACTACTACTAAAATTACATTCCATGTATTCAGTTTTAGTTCTACTCAAATGAAGGCCTTTAGACTCCAATGTAGACCTCCATAATTCATGTTCTTCTTGGGTTTTTTCTCTCGTTTATCAACGAGAAGGATATCATCAGCAAAAAACATACAAGAAGGTACATCCTCCTGTAAATGTCCAATAAGACCATCCATAACTAAAGCAAAAAGATATGGGCTTAAAGCCGATCCCTGATGTAATCCAACAAAAATAGGAAAATATTTGGTCAATCTTCCTTCAATTCGAACACAAGTAACAAATCTAGTTTACATATCTTTAATGACTTAAATATAAGTCATATCAACACCTTTCTTCTCAAAAACTCTCGAAAGGATATCTTTTAGAACTTTATCGTAAGCTTTTTCTAAATCAATAAAAATCAGGTGTAGATTCTCTTTATTATTTCTGAACTTTTCCATCAAACATCTAAATTGATTATGAGAAATCTTTGTGATATGTCTTAACCTATGTTCAATTACCCTCTCTCATAATTTTAAAGTATGACACATCAACTTAATTCCTCCATAATTTGCACACTCTTTTGCATCCTCTTTCATCCCCTTTTGTGCATCCCCTTTATTCGTAAAAATGGGGACCGAAATACTGTTCCTCCAATCCTCATGCATCTTTTTAATTTTTAAAATATTATTAAAAAGTTTAGTAAGCCAAGAAACTCGCAAATCTCCTAAAATTTTCATACTTCAATTAGGATATCATCTGGTCCTACAGACTTTCCACCCTTGGTTTTCTTTAAAGCCTCATCAATTTCTTTTTTACTAATGCGACGGTAAAATTGAAACGTTTTATTTTTATTAGTGATATTAAGATCGCTAAGGTCAATCGTATTTTCAGAAAATTTATTAAAAAATTTATCAAAATAACTCACCCACCTATGTTGAATATCTTTTTCTAAGAAAAACACTTTTTGATTTTTATCTTTAATACACTTTACTTGAGTTAAATGTTTACTTTTCTTCTATCTTTGTTTGACTAGTTTTTACATATATTTTTCACTCTTCTTAGTATCTAATATATTATACAGATCATTAAAAGTAAAATTTTTAGCTTCACAGATTGTTCTTTTGGACTCTTTGCGGGTCATTTGATATTTTTTCCAGTTCTCTAAGCTTTTATATTTAAACCAATTTTTATAACATAACTTCTTATATTTTATCTTTTCTTGCATAATATTATTCCATCACCAACTATTTTTCTTTATAGATTTTTTTTATTATCCAATTACATATTTTGCTACTTGTTTAATAGTGCTTGTTGTTTTATCTCATATAGCATTTGCTTCATCATGAACATCCTAAATTTTGAAATCTTGAATTTTACTCATAAAAATAATTTTATTTGTGTTTTTTAGGTTCTCTCATCTAATTCTACGATGAAAAGTCATAGTATTTTTTATTTTACAACTCTTCATCTTAAAATCTAGAACTAATAAATGATGTTGCGTACTTAAATCCTCACTTGGAATGACCTTGCAATCCTTACAATCTGGACGATCTCTTCTTCTCATAATACAATAATCAATTTGTGTTTTATTAGATCCATTTTTATAAGTAATAAGATGCTCATCTATTTTCTATCTATTTTCTTGAACATCTATTTTCTTGAATAAAATATTAGTAATAATAAAATCATACACTAAAAAAAAATCTAAAATAGCTCTACCTGTTTCACTTGTCAATCCAAAACCGTAGCCACAATGAATATTTCTGAAATCTTCTACTACTCTACCAACATGTCCATAACATGTCCATTTAACATGTCCATTTAAATCTCCTCTAATAAAAATTCTTTCTTCAAGAGGTATCATTTGTGTTGAGTCTACTAAGTCATTCCAGATATTATCTTTAGACCCTATTTCTAAACCTATTTGAGGAGCATAAGCACTTGTAATATTAAAAATCTTAGTATCAATGATAATCTTAAGGGCTATAATTCTATCTCCAACTCTATTAATTTTTGCAACATTATTTTTCAAACTCTTATCTATAATTACACCTACACTATTTCTATTGCGACATTTACCAGAATACCAAAGTTTAAAACCTAAGTTGTCATTCTCCTTAGCCTTTTCTCCAACTTATTTAGTTTCTTAAATACATAAGATATTAATCTTTCTATGAATCATAATATCAACTAATTTCATTAATTTGCCATTGAGAATACCTATATTTTAAAATTTTATCATAATATTAATTTCGGTAGTTTCATCGACAACAATGCTTCAATTATATCATAAAAATCATTATCCTTGAGGAATGATCAGGACAATCACAACCTCGTGTTCAAACATTAAAGCTCCTGCAAGTTCTGAGCTAAAAGCTGATTTCGTGAACATTTTATATGCTCTTTTCAGGATGACCCAGCAACCAGAAGATGGCTCCAGCAGCTGCTGCATAATATTTCAGGAGGAAGCTTGGTTTCTGCCCTTCAGCCTGGAGGTCTTGAGCACATGCTGGGAAACTAAACCATCCTCCTCTCATTTTTTGCCATCTCAAAGTGAGATACAGGATTGTCTGTTGTATTCCATTTTAAAATATGTTCTTAGGATTTTGCTCACTCAAATAGGAGTTGCTGCTTGCCGACAATGTAGAATATACGCATGGGTTATGTTGGGATTGAAGTCCCTTTTTGTTTAATGTAAGATATTTGCATCACAGAATATTTATGCTAGAGTAATGTTATTCAATTTGTTAATGTCACTTGTTTCTGTGTTAGCTGCGGATGCATTTCTTATCACTTTCTTCAGTCGATTGTCACTCAGCCATTTGTTTGTGATAAAGATGTTGATGGAGTGATTTATAGTCATTTATCTTATGAAATGAAGCCGAGTCGCTCTATTTTGACTATAAATTTGTCAAATTTAAACATCATTTGATTCTCTAATCGGTGTTTCAAATTTTGTATTTATCCTTTAAATGCTTGATTGGTGCTCGTTCGATCTTTTAGATTGGATTGCTTTTGATGTTGAACTTAACTTGTCAAGAAATTTAATTTGATCATAAATTTGATGAAATAGTTCACTTTAGAAGTTATCCAATCCTTAAATATGTTGAGATTTTTGCTTCATCAAGCTAATTTTCTGGCAACCTATTTGCTGCCCCTTATTTTCGAACTTTGATGCTCTTAGCATCCAACAACATGTCTCAAGTTGTTGAAAATTTATGTTACATAAATATCAATTTGGTATAAATTAGGAAGTGCAATCTTTCTTTGGACACCAATGTAGACCACCCCTCTAATAAAACATCCTCAATTATACTTTTAGCCATTACCATTTGCATGTCAATTGCCAATTGGAGTGAAAGCTTTTGCAAATTTTTAGAGTAAATATAGTTGCTCAAAATCAATTATCGAGGTTCTATCATGCTGGCAAAATAACAAAATTGAGTCCGAAATGTCAAAAATGTTTCTTGAGATCTAAAAATTGAATCGGAGATGTCTGGATTGGTTGACACTGTTATTGATCATGATGTCGTGTTATATGCCCATGCCTCTAGAACATGAGAATTTAAAATTTCAAAATTTTTTGTGACATGATGATTGTTTTAATTTATTAATTTTTATGCCATTCTTTCTATTAATCATATTGAATTTTTTAAATATTATTTTAAAACAAATTCATATAATTTATTAAAGCTAATAGTTTTACATAATTTATTTATAAATTAAAACCACAATTTTATTTCACCTTTTTATGAAATAAATTCTTCAATATATTTTTTAAAATTTATAAAAAAATTAAATCAAAACTCAAAGTCCTAGTTACCCATTTTAATATTTAATGGGTGGGGGCGACTAATACACTGTGTGATCGGTTATATGACAATATATTAGATTTATGTTTGTAGGATTTAGTAAATCCAATAAATTCAGATTCAATAAATTCAATAAAAGTTGGAACCCAAAAATTATTCGACAATTGATTTCATAAATCCAATTAAATCCTATAAAGTTGTTTGTCAATTTATGTAAGATTTAAAAGTTTGTTATGTTCGTTAGAATAACATAACAAATTATTATTTTTTATATTATTAGAAAATATGATAATTAAATTTAATTAAATTCTATTTCAATGTAGTTCTAACTATACCAATTGATAACTAATGATTTACTATAGTAATTGATTATTAATTTACAAATCATTAAACTAGTTATTTATTAAATAATAATTCAACATTAATTTTGAATTAACTAATTATTAATTATATTAATTAAGAATTATTTGAATTTTAAATTATTTTTTATTCATTAATTAAATATTAAATAAGTATATCTCAATATAATTAATTAGTTAATTAATTAATTATTAATTTATTAAATAATAAAATAAAATCACAACCCTATCTCCTTTTTCCCGCTCTCCCCTGCACAAATCCTTCCTCAAACCCTCGCCTACTTCACTCCCCCTCTCCGGCTCTCTCCTTCTTGACCAAACCCTCACGATACAGTTGCGATTAGAGATAACCGGTACAGCAACGACGGGATCGCGGTGTACAGTGACTCGAATTTTTATCTTTCTCCTCTTTCCCCTCTCTTCCTGCCGAAAGTTAACTCCACATCTTCCTTTTCGCGCGATAGCCCATCCCGGATTTACTATATCCTCCCTGCTCTAAATCCGTTACCAGACAGGCCCTAAAGTTTCCCCAACACCGGATCTTCAATTACTCGTCAAAATGGCCGAGGAAGAATGGTTCCTTGACGAATTTGAGATCGGAAGGTTCATAGGTGAAGGGAAGTTTGGCAAAGTCTATCTTGCTAGAGAGAAACAGGCAAATCCGCTTCTAATTTATTCACCCTTTTTCCCTTTTTAAGATTTCTAAAACACCAGAATGAAGCAACAATGCTAGTCTTCTTCCTCCAGAGCGGATATATCGTAGCCCTAAAGGTCATTTTCAAGCAGAAGCTGGAAAAGTATCATTTCCACGAGCATCTTAGACGAGAGATCGAGATCCAACACAGCCTTGACCACCCAAATGTCCTCCGCCTGTTCGCTTGGTTCCACGACGAGACCCGCATCTTCTTGGTCCTGGAGTACGCCGCTCAGGGAGAGCTTTACAAGCTGCTCAGGAACTTGCACCACTTCTCCGAGAAGCGTGCGGCCACGGTAGATTGCTTTGTTTCAAACCCTAGTTTGCATTTGAGCTTCTGCTACGTTTCAATATTCTTTTCGTTAATTGTTTTTTGAATTGTTTGGTGCAAGTATGTGGCGAGCCTTGCGAAGGCGTTGGCTTACTGCCATGAAAATAATGTGATACACAGAGACATCAAGCCAGAGAATTTATTGCTAGATTTTGAGGTATGAAGTGTTCAATTTCCTATTACGTATTTTTGACTTTGCTAAAACTTTTTGTTGGTTTTTATTTCATTTTCTCTGCGACTCAGCTTGGCATTTTGTGTTGTTCTTATAAATAATTGTATTTTGTATGGAATTTTGACCATTCATACTAATGTGATGCATTTGCTTACAAAAGAGTAGTTTTATTCAGGTTTAATTTCGAAGGGTTTTTTTTTATGCCATCTTTTAGGTACATCACTTCATCTAAGGAATGGGATTTATAAATCATGTTATATTTCCAAAAATAATTTTTACGGTAAATTTCATAGGCAAATTAAGTTTAGGGTTCACCTTTTCCTGCCATCTTTTTGAAACATCACTTGGTAACCTAGCAATTACCTAAGGAATGGGGTTTAGAATCCACTAGAGAATTTCATGTCATATATATAAAAATGAAATTACAGGGTAAAATTTTGATGTAAATAAAATTTAGGGTAAATTTTATTATGTTTTTGAACTCTTATTTGCTGTAAAGATATATCCTTATTCTACCAATATTAACCAATAAGGTTTTCATCAAACAAGAATAATCTAGAAAATATATTCAAAATAGAGCATCTTGGTGTTTGTTTTATTCCTTCATAATTTGTCATTTAGTATTAGTTAGTAAAATGCAAGAGGAATGATTGAAGTTTTGCAAATAAATTTGTACAAAATAGAAAGAGGAGCTCAAGAAAGGGTGGGAAGGAGATTAGTAAGTGTACCTTACTTTCATTGGTGGGAATAGATTTACGTGTATGTGTTTGTGTGTATGTGTGAGAGGAAGGGCTATCAACTCTTCTAGTTTTGAAGTTGTAATGCAAATCTACTTAATCCAGCCCTTTACTCTCTTCCTTGACACAAATCGTAAGGCTACAAAGTCAGAGTCTTAAAATATGGGCATCCAAACTACCACATCTTTTTATTCCAATCAATTTTCCTTTTATCTTAGCTTTCGTATACTCTCAAATGTAATTTAGTGGAAATATATTGGAATGATTCTTGACAATTATGGAACCTAATTGGCTGTTTGTGATCACTTTTTGTTTTTTTCTTTTTGTTTTTAGTTTATTTTTTATTTTGTTTTAATTTAAGTTTAAAACAAAAATATTTTCGGTAACACTTATGATTGTTTGATTTTTAAATATAAAAAATTAAAACAAGAATAATATAATAACTCATAAATTCTGCACACCTTTTAGATTCATACGCATCATTCAAATCATCATCTAATAAATGTTAATTGATCGCTACACAAATCTTAAAGCAGGTCAAGGGATGTCATTCAAGGCATTGACGTCAAATAAGGCATCGACATCGAAGAAGGCATCGGTGTAGATGTCGAGAAGATGGGAGTTGTTTTGAAAACACAAAAAAATAGTTTTTCTTGTTTTGTATTTTTGAAGAACAAAAACACGATTGTTTAAAATGAAGAAAAAACATTTAGAAAAATAATAAACAAACATTTTTTTTGTTTTTATTTTATGTTTTTTGAAATAAAAAATAAAAAACAGAAAAGAAAAGTGATCCAAAACAACCCCTAAGGGAATGTGTACACAACCCTAAGGAAAGATGATAGAATAGAAATACTACCCAAGACCAAGAGTAAGGGGAGAGTGTAATATCTTTTAAATAAAATAAAAAATAAAAATCAAATTGAAGTATAATTGTTCAATTATTAGAAGTTCAGGGGAGACTTCTTTCGTTCATATTTAGTGAGAAAGTGAAACGAAGTACGAGAGAGTGAGGCGTGATCGTTAGTAGCATTAACTTGCAACTTCATTGAGGGGCTTAGTAGGAGAAGAGGTGAAACTGCAGGGAAGGGAGAAGGAAGGCGTGATCGTTTCTAGCATTAACTTGCAACTTCATTGAGGAGCTTTGCATCTGACGCCACTGTCGAGCCCAGGCAAGTTGTCCGTGAGTGAAGGAAGATGGGAGGAAGGAGAAGGAGAAGGAGAAGAGGAAGAATGAGAGGAGTCGTGTTTCTTCTTTTACCTGAGCTTCGATGTCGAGCCTTGCCAAAGGAGGAAACGATGTTGTACCCTAGTTGTGCAGAGGAAGAGGAGGAGAAGGCTCGTGGGTGCGGGTAGGAGACGAGTCGAGCCTCACGTGCAAAGGAAGGACACCAAAGGAAAGCATACCGAAGCTCAAAGGTGAGTTTAATATTTTAATTAGATTACTTGATAAAAATATTATATATATTTAAGTTTATTCTTTAAATGTTAATTGTAAGTGCATTTGATATCAAGATAGAAGCTATTAGAGTTCCAAATTAGAGAGAGATAGAGGTTAATATCTGTGCAAAAGTGATCGAGACACAACAACAACGACAACAACAAAACCTTTATCCCACTAAGTGGGGTCAACTACATGAGTCCTTTTTCTTCATTGCTTCCTATTTAGTGTCATATTTCATTTAATTCTAATAAATTAAGATCATTTTTTATACAATATGCCCAAGTCATCCTAGATCTACCTTTGTTGTTCTTAACATAAGTCGAATCTAAAACATCTAGTCTTCTAATCAGATCATCAGATGGTCGACGTTTAAGGTCGACGTTTAATTTAATGTGACCAAACCATTTAAGACGACTCTCTCTAATTTTGAAGGTTATTTATTTTTAATTAATGAATCTAATATACATATTGTGTATCAAAATATTAATTATAGATTTCATTAAATAGGATTTAAGCTTTAGAAGTTCAGATTGGAGGTAGAAGAAGAACCTTGTGACATTAAAGGTGAGTAATTATTTTATTATATGTATAAAATTATTGTTTAGTTGAATAAAAACTTGCCTTTATGCTTCAGATAACTGTTTTAATAATTATATGAATGTTGCATCACGTGTGCATGTTGTAAGCTTAAGAACTATTGAAATAAATGAAATTGAAAAAGAGAAAATGAACGTTCAATGTTATAAAATGAAATAATTTAAAGGAAATGAAATGAAATGTTAGGGATTAAGACATTTAGGATTATCCTCAGATGTTATTAAAAGGGGATGTGATCTACCCATGCATAAAAAATGAAATGAAAATGATAAAAGTGTACATTCACATGTAAAATTTTGAGGGTACTTATGGGTATAATTTTGAGGATACATTTGTCTATTACGGTAATTCTGATATGACTTATTAAATGGGTTAAAAAAATAATTACTTAAATTGAAACAAGAATGATTAAATTTAAAATAAAATCTTACAGTTTGATTAAAGAATTACATATCTTTTGGTCATTCATGCATATCATTTGCATATGAATTTAATGCATAAGAATGTTGTAATTGCTCACTAAATCGTGAAAATTTACTCTTGAATTTTTTTTTTTTCAAGAATAACTGTAGATTGATATGTCTGACATGAGGAATTTAGCTTACAGGATGAGAATTATAACTGATAGGTACCAGGTTGTGATGTGATTTTAGTTTTCATTTTGTATTGTTTTCTTATGGGCGGTGAGATACCGTTATATGTTGGATAAGTGGTTGTTTATATTTTATGTTGTTTTTAATGTATATTTTGATTTCTATGCAGTATACTTTGTGGTTCCTTGGCGGCTCTTTTATATTTTGCAAATCATTAAAACCGTTGGAAAGTAAATGTACTGCGTGCTGGAGACATTCCTGTGATATTGAGCCTTATTATTTAATACTTTGATAGTTGCGACAGTTTCATAAAAATTTGTCAACTTAAAAAATTGTTTAATAGATCATAAGATTAAGTGCTTTCTGCTGTCTCATATTTGATCCCACCTGGACTTCATAATTTTGTAAAGCTTTATGTTTACTTCATAGATGAAGGTAGCAGGGATTATACTATAAAAACCTGTAAATTCTTCCTACTTTATTCAATTTCCTACTCTTTACATAGGTGATGGTGTACAAGGAAGTGAAGTGATAGAAAACCATTTAGCATTTATATCAAGATTGTGAATGTTAACTCTCCATTGTATAGAAACGTTAACAGCCCAAACTTTTAATTTGCATCGTAAGGTTTGATTCCATTATTGTTCATGGTATTTTCAATATGCATTTCTTACATTGGCAAAAAAAATTTAATGATGACTAAATGTCACCTCAAAAAACTTATGTTATTCAGATACGCAAGCTTTTTTCTACTTTCCAACTGGGAGAAAAATTGTCTCAAGTATATAAACAGGTTTATTATTTGCCATGAATTGATTAAGGTCTTGTTAAGCATGTCTCCAATTGGATTGTTCTTATGAACACATTTGAAAACTTGGTTTGTTTCGCTTGTATCATGGAATAAATTTATTACTTTGCAATGATATTCTTATACGTAAGTGGATTATTTTATTATCATTATTATTTTACTTTATTTTATTTTTTGCTCTTATGAATCATGGACTAAGCATAACTAGTAAATCCTTTAAGATAAAACTATATTAATTTTACAGTGAATTCGTTTTATGATTAGTGCATATGATTTAATCATTTTTTCTGAGTGATCCTAATAAAGCGAAGGCTATTTTCAACCGTTTAATAGTTGCCTACATCTTCATTCAAAAACAAAAATTCTGTCCTATCAACCGTGCTCATTAGATTGATACATTCTTCAGGGCCGCCTGAAAATAGCAGATTTTGGATGGGCTGCACAGCTACAGGCGCATGCAAAGAGACAAACTATGTGTGGTACTATAGATTATCTTGCTCCAGAAATGGTGCAGAATAAGGAGCATGATCAAACTGTTGATAATTGGACGCTTGGCATTCTTTGCTATGAATTTCTCTATGGTTTCCCACCATTTGAAGCCGAGGATAAATATGATACTTTCAAAAGGTGCATTGCCATCCTTAGAAGATTTAGTCTTTTTGAAATCATTTTTGTTTTTGTTTATTCTTCTGTTTTTAAAGATATTTGGTTAATATGTTTTTCTTTGTTTTTATTTATTATTATTAAAAATAAATGAATTTATTTTTAAAGCACTCAAAACAACATAAGCATTTTGTGTGCTTTTAAAAACAACTTCTTGCATCAATCATGTTTAATTTCAAATCGATGCATAAAAAAATAAAATATAAATAAAAAATAAAAATGATCCTAAATGACAGTGTGACAGTGATGTTGGCATCAAAGTTTTTTCTGTTTAGTAAAATTGTGTTTTTCTGCTTTTTCAAAAAACTATTGATGAAAGTTGCATTTTATTACCGATCATGGCTAAATACAGTGACTGCTAAAAAATTGTGGTGTGATTTTTTCAAAAAAAAAAAAAAAGAAAAAAAATTGTCATAGACACTGAAAAAATTGTGGTGTGATTTTTTCAAAAAAAAAAAAGAAAAAAAATTGTCATAGACACTACTGCAGCTTTTTAATCGGTTACTTCTTCTACTGTAGTTTCACACCTGCTTCTTCAAACAGCTGCAGCTGCCCTAAACAGACCCGAAATTGCTTCTAATATTTGTGTATATCTTACTCTTGAATGTTATAATATAACAGGATTCTTAAGGTTGATGTTGTATTTCCTTCTTCGCCTCCTGTCTCTCCAGAAGCAAAGGATTTAATCTCCAAGGTAAGCTCATATATTATCTACTTGCTTTTGGCCACTGCAAAGGATTAGTTTCTCTCTTTTTTTTTTTCTTCAACTTTTTCTAAATACTTGTAGCTTCTAGTGAAGGACTCATCAAAGAGGCTTTCGCCGCAGAAAATTCTGGAGCATCCATGGATAGTTCAAAATGCAGATCCTTCAGGATGTACCAAAGAATGAAGATCACATTAGCAGGAGATTATATCACAACTTTTAGTAACATATCTAACACCTAAACTTTTCTTTTTTGACATTTACAAAAACTCAAATCTTTAAAAGGTGAAACATGCCATTTTAACCATGTGATATAACTTTAAAAATCAAACTTTAGGTGTTAAATATATAAATACATAAAAATTGTGCGGCATTTACGTAAATCTTCCTAACTACTAATGATAACAGATAGTTGCATGCTTCCATTTTCTAGCAGCAATATGTTCTCTGTTAACTTCACCAGCTTTTGGATTTGATGCAGTTGGTGGTAGGTCTAATGCATTATGTGGTTCTATGTTTTAGTGTTTTCTCACTATTGCTTTCTTCAACCCCATTTTTGCTAGAGATTTCTGAGACTAGAAGGGATTGGGGAGGAGTTTAGCCTACTTACTAAATATAAATTCTTAAGAGAGGCAGATCAGGATGAGTCTACCTGTTCTTAGGATTATCAGTAAGCTTGTTTTATTATTATTGTTATTATTACTGTTTTTCTCTTTGATTTGGCTATAAGGAGGAAACAGCTTTTCCATGGGAAAATAACATGAGAACATGGAAACAAATTTTATTTCATTATATGAAAACAATCATAAGGCAACCACTTATATATAAATTTTTACTTGGGTGATTGTATTGAGAGTTATTTGTTCAGCTGGCTTGAGCTGGACTTGATAAGTGGCTCGTGGATTGAGCTCGATGAGTTAACAAGCCAAGCTTAAGCTAGCCTTGACTCGACATGTTGGCCAGTGAGCCGGTTCTTATTGTATTTTATCTTTAAATAAGATCTTATATCTAAAGTATAAAAAATATTTTAAAAAATATATATATTTTATATTATATATCAATGATTTCTTATTGTTTTTTAAATTGTTCATTTTATTTGTCATTTTATTATAATATTATATTAGATTAATTTGATTTTTTTTCTTTTAAAATAAACAAGATAACTTGTGAGCTGGCTCGAATTCATAGACTTAAGTTTGTGCTTGATAAAATAAATCAAGCTCGAGCAGAGGTGGTTGAGTTGACTCAACTCTTTAACACTTTTAGTTCATTATTAAATATAGTGACAAAAAAAATTATTAACATCTGAATGATTATAAAAAGTTAGAAAAAAAAAATATAAGAATGATGTATTTAAATTTTTACACTTGTCCAAAAAGAGGTTTTATTGTGCTAATTTAAAATATTAAAAATTTAAAAAATTAATTTGATATTTTAAAGATAACATCCCACAAATAACAATATGTGCTGGAAAATAAATAAATAGAAATAATTAGAGCAATCAAAAACAATAAATTTTTGTTTGGTATGGTTGGAGCATTGGTCAGCACTTTTGATGCATGACATTATATTATGTGGAGAAGCTTCCTATACCAACTTCTGCTGGATAATCTCCTGCTTTTAAGGCCAACAGGTTCTACACTCACCCACCAACTTTCTCAATAAAAGAAAATAATATATATATAAATATAAATACTATTTTATGAAAACTTATAGTCACTATCAAAATTCATCCTTTTTAATTTTTAATAAAATCTCACAAGCTTAATTTGGAAAACATGATTTAGCTTATTTACATGAAGATAATATAAGACAATAAAATTATTTTCACATTCACACTAAGTATCTTAATTTTAGACTGTTGTTTCCCATTTTTTTTTGAAAGAACATGTTTCCAAATGGGAAAACAATTATAAAGTCAAGTTGTAGCTATAAGAAGTAATGAAAATCAATTAGTAGCTATGAGAAATATTGAAAATCAATTAGTGCTGTTAGCTAATTCATTGCTTAATATATCGTAAATGATTTTATCAAGCAACATAATGGTGAACCCTAAAGACAAAAGGAAAGAAAATTGTAAGGCAATCTAGTTGAGGAGCAAAAATGTGCTATGAGAGTTAGTTAGAGATAATGAAAAGAGAGAATAACCTAAATAGATTGGATAAACTTGTTGAACAGCCTGTAGAAGGCTAAAAGAAAAATGATCGATTGGGAAGGTAATTGAAATAGACCATCATTAACTTTTTCTTAGAGTCTCCAAAACTAAATTTGAATGAGCAAATTTCTAGATTTTAGGAATTGTTCAAGAAGTTGACTATAAATATTTCATTTATTAAAATTTTTGAATAGATGTCTAGTTATATTAAGTTCATGAAAAAAATATTTAATAGATACTATAAAGTAAGTGAACTTAAAATTGTAACCTTAATAAAAGTATGTAGTTCAATTATACGAAGGAAAATCCCACAAAAACTTAAGAATATAAGTAGTTTTAAGATTACATACATAACTGGGGAAGTTTTTCAATAAGACTGTGTAATATAGTTACCAGTAAAAATTTTATGTCGTTGAGATTGGGGTTGAGAGAAGTACCCCTCATTATTGTAACCCTTCGATACACCTAAAATATATAGCATTTATGTACACATTTTTATACTTATTTTGAGGATATTGCACTTTAATGAAAGATATTTGTGTGTTTGTCTTTCAGGTACAAAGTAAATGAATGAAATATGGTTAAAGAAGTGAAAAATGATCAAATTTGGAGCAAAAATGTGAAAAAATGTGCAAAATATTTTTAGCAACTAAGTTGTGGCGTCTAAGCACCCAAGACTGACACTTAAGCGTCAGGAGACATAGAAGGTCGCACCTAAGAGCCGAAGACCTTGCGCTTGCGCGCCAGTTAGTTATGATGAAAATTCAAGGAATTTTAGACGAATTTCGAAGGGGTTTTTGAAGCAAATCTTGGTGTAAACGTGGATTACAGTTGATGGGCACGAAAATACATTGAAATGAGTCTTGAAAAGAGGCAACTTTTGGAAGATTCATTGAATGTGGACACATTTTGAAGAGACACCAAAGTACCTTTTGGAGAAATATAAAAAGGAGGACTTGGATTAAATTGAAGAGATACAGAAGACTTAGGACACTTTTAGAGATTAGAAAGTAAGGAGTTATAAGATTTTATTTAGGGCTTCTTCTCACTTTTATCATTCTTAGTGAAGGAGAACGTGATTAGATAATTCTAAGTAAGAATTTATTGTAGTTTGTTAGTGAAATAGAGATATTTTAACCCTCTAGGGTTGGGAGACTAGACCTAAGGAGGATTGTAAGAGAAAGAAAGAGATTCAAAGGAACTTCAAGAGTTTGGTGGAGAGGAATTTGAGATAAGTTTTTATTTTTTTGATTGCATTTGGTTTTAATTTAGACTTCTTGTGTTTTTACATGATTTCTACTTTTAAACTTAATTGTTGTTGTGTTTTCTCCATGAATTTTGAGTAGTTTTCTTTTTCTTTTTCCTTTTCCTTAAAATGATAAGTAATTGAATGTTGAATTGAAGTTATGTGAAGTATTGATCTATAATGTTGGAATAAGTTGTGATGATTTAATCCTTACACTTCATTTACTTATTGATTTGACCAATTGAGATGTTAAAATTTGTTGTGAGAACGTGTAAGATTCGTGATGGTATTATCTCAGTCAACTAATGATAGAATCACATGAGATTGTATGGATGAGAATGTGATTCATATGGTTGAATGCAAATAAATAGGGAAATAAACTTTAAATGGTGTAGAGTTAAAGGATTTTAGAGTAACAAACTAAAGTCCCCAATTCAGTCTATTGTTTTAGGTCTTGATACGAGAGGTTAGCCCCAAGGTGAAGAGAGAAGAGAAAATTTAAGAGTGAGAGCTAGTATCTTCTCTATCTGGCCCGTCTTCAAGATTATTCAACTTTAGATTAGCCAATGTTCTTTATAGCATCTCTAGTAAGGGAAAAAAATAATATTGCTCTTATTTGACACAACACAATTTAAATACTTTCACAATATAATCCCTATACTTGTTACTGATTCATGATAAGGAAAAAATATTTTATTTGTAATGTTTTAATCTTACAAAAATCTAGTTAAATTTTGTTAGTTGTTTACTTTATTTTCAATTATCAAAATTAACAAAAAGAATCAAACTACAAAAAGAATCAAACTTTCAAGAATCAAACTTTCATTCCTACCATAGTATTTATAGTTTGAGTAAGATTTTTTTTCAAAGTAGACTTTATTATCTAATTTCTTCTTATGAATTAATAGTTCTCCCTGTGTTCGATATTTTAGGGTTTAATCAAAAAGTCCTATATTACTTGATAACGATACATATACTTGCGTAGTATCCCAATATTTAAATATAAAAGTTGCACTCTTACTTGCTTCAGAGTCCAGTATTTGACATCGTTGTAAAGAAAGAAATATAAATAAAGAAAATAAAAAATCTAACTGCACCAACATTATAATACTATCGTACCAGATAGGGATCAAGTTTTTGGCTTCTGTTGTAAGGAAACTTACATTTAGTTCTTATCAGTGGAGTCAGAAGCAGAAGTATATAAAAGAAAAGGGATCACCCTTCAACTAGTAGACCGTTCACTCACATATCTTACGAGGGGTATAGGGGATGTTTTGGTAAAATTAGATAAGTGCATCTTCCCTACTAATTTTATAATTCTATATATGGAGGAAATAAAGAAATTTTAAGCATCTTAGGTAGACCTTATTTTAATATTTTAAGATCTATGCAAGTCATCAATGATCATTGTTATGACTAATACATTAGACTTTATTTGATGGATGGGTGGATGAGAGACCAACTTTATTATATGTAGAGTTAGACCCTATAAATCAATTTGGACTACTGATGATGTAGATGGAAACAAGAATAAATTTTATTTATTTTAGAACCTGCGCCCAAGACCTTTAGAGAAGGATTTAAACTATTAGATAGTCTAATATAACCAAACTATTTAAATTAATGACTGTAGAGGCACCTATTTTGAAATTAAATACACTCTCAAAACACTTTAGGTATGTTTTTTTTCTGTGGTGAGTCATCAAATTTACACATAATAATATCTTTTGAGTTTGATGAAAAACAAGAAAAAAAGTTGATGAGAGTATTGAAGAATCTTAGAAAAAATTTGGTTAGATAATTATGGATATAAGAGGAATTAGCACTTACCTTTATATGCATAATTTTTTTCTTGGAAGATAATCAACAGTCAAAAGTGGATGCTTAGAGAAGATTAAATTCTATGAAGAAAGAAGTGGTGAAGAAGAAAATACTTATGCTTTGAAACTATCTATCTCATTTCATATAGTGCTTGGGTGAGTCTAATATAATGTGTATCAAAAGGAAGGTGGTTTGAATATGGTAAAAAATAAGAATTCAATTTCCACTAAGAAAGTAACTAGTTGAAGAATCTATATATACTATAAAAAATTGAATAAAATAACTTAAGAAAAATTTTTCTTTGTTGTTTGAGGTAAAAATTCAAGCTATAAGAAATCTATCACCTAGTATCAAAAAAATTAGAGAGTTTCTTATGGTATATAGAACTTTATAAATGATTCCTTTTAAGGACATTTCTAAAGTAAATAAGTCATTATATCATTAATTAGAGAAGGATATACCTTTTGAATTTGATTAGGAGTACTTAGAAGCATTTGAACTTTCGAAATGTAAACTAACCATTGCACCTATTATAGTTTCACCTAATTAGAATTACCCATTCGAGCTATTATGTAAAGTAAGTGATTTTTCAATTGGAGTTATCCTGTGGCAA